TAGGCCTGCTGTGATACCATGTAAGAATAGGGGAAAACGGGTGCGGTACATGCACGTGAAACACACCATAAGAGGATGAGCCTATGTGCACTATAGTGAGATTCCATCCCAAAACCAATTGGTAGTAGGAGGAGTAGCCCAATAGGCTTATAAGTTAGACTTATTTTAATTTTCATGTATAAACAATGTGGGACAACTCACAAATAATACTCTAACTAGTACAACACCCATGTATTACATGGGTAGGGACGGTGTCTCATCCCGGACCATTCATGGACCGATTCATAAAAATGGGATCGGTATCCAGACAAGTCAAATTCAGGACAGTCCGGACCGCGCCCACTCTTACCATAAATAATCAACATATTTATAGATAATCCGAACCTAAATATTTTTTTATTATAAGTAAATTAAATCTACCCACGCCTAATAACAAAGCATGTAATTTTGCTACAAGGATCCCAAAGCACGCAAACCTGCCACATAGGCTCAGTACGTTCTGAATTAATATATAAAGGGGATAACCACATGCAAAAGAAATTATTTTACTTGTTTGTCTCTATTTGAAAGACCACCAATAGAAGAATGTTTCTAGCATTGAAAGTCTCTTAAGAAAAAAGCACCAAGAGGGGAATGTTTTGAGTATTAAAAAAGTGAGTTCTTTTGGTAGATATTTCACTAAGCTTATTTACTCAAGTGAGTTCTTTTGGTAGATATTTCACTAAGCTTAATTCAAGAGTAAATATTTGTCATTATTCTCGAACTTTTGCATAAAAAAATTTAAGAATTTTTTTCCATTCCCTGCCCCCTCCCTTTGTATTAATGCACACTCTTCCGAACTTACGTGTCAACCGCTAATACTTTATAATTATATATTTATTATCGATTTATGGTGCTTTATCATCATATATAATGTCGATTTTTTGTGCTTTTGAGTAGTCCTTATAGATCAGAACTTCAAATTATGTCTATTGAGATCTTTAAAACTATAACACCTGAATAAATTAATTATAAATATATTTAAAAATTGGTAACTTTCGTATTTATAATCATATTTTCATATATGATATAATAAATTAACCATATGTTAATTTGACATAAATATTGTATGAGACAGCCTAACCGTCAAGAAGATGGACTAGTCATAATTTTATTAACTAATAGCATACTTATGTTATGAAGTTTATACTATTTTTTTTTTAAAATTTGATTTTTTATTTAAAAAATATGTATACATTTTACGAACATTTAACCGTTACGCCTACCTAATACTAGAAGACAAAAGGGGGGTATAACCAGGTCCGGATCTAGTATATGTCTGGGTTGGGCTGAAGCCCAGGCTTATTATTATTATTATTATTATTATTATTTTCTTATAATTAGTAGTTTGAACAAAAAATTATTGTATTTTTAGCTCAGCCCAATAAACCACCAAACCTAATAAAATAATTTATTTATCTATTAAGTCCAAAGACTACTAACACCATTCTAATAAAATATTCTATATTGTTGATCAATTCTTTCACAAGATATTAAACCCCTATTAGATATTTATTTCATTTGTCTAAGTGTCTTTATTAATCTTCTCATTTTAGTTGAGCTATTTAGGGTTTTAATAGTAATTGCTAGGATCGTTTGGTTGGGATTTTTGTTTCGTTGATTGTGTATGAAGTAGTAATTGTGTGTTTGTGTATGCTTTTTTTTTTTTTAATCCCTTATCCTCTAGTGTACTTGTTGTATATCATAGTTGGATATAATTTATGATGTGTAGGCATTTCATTTTGCTAATACTTATGTCATATGAAAAATCTATTTATTTGTATTGTGGAATTTATAGAAATTCACATGGAGTACCAATTTTCGGCCAAGAGGAAAAACCAAAGCACATCAAATACGTGCAAAATGAGAATAATAAATTTTTGTTAGAAGCTCGTCGAGCACAACTTCAGTGAATATTTGAAGAAAAAATATTATGTGATTTATGTGAAAATTAGTTTTTAAAATTCTAGCCCAGTCTACTCTTAATTCTTGAATACGTCCCTGGGTATAACTGTCTTTTTGTGAGCTTAATTTCGTGGACAAATTAGGTTGGGGCCAGGAAAAGATGTACATGGATGAAATAGTGCTTCCAATTATCCAAAACGACAAAGGTGATGCACCAAATGCCACTCATAAGTGGCCATATTAGTGGAGAATAAAGATTAGAAGCACTATCACTCTCTTTAATTAATTTATTAATTTATTTGTTTTTTCAAAATTAATTTATTCATTTATTTGCTCTCTCTTTTTTTTTTCTTTTTCCAAAAGTTGGTGTCTTAAGACAGCTCCCTAAACAATATATAATTATTTACTGACTGCTTTCTAAAGAAGGCCTTGTAATTAACTCGATCGTAATCTTCCATTTAATTATTGGTTGGCTGATGTGTAAGTTTATATATAGATTATTATCCACAAAATAGTGAATGTTTTGCTTTAAACATAATTATAGATTCGTCATCAAAAGATAGATTGGTTGTGTAATCTTCTTTCCTCAATAAAATATTATCTTTTGAAATAATTAATTAACTTGCATTTGAAAACATAGCATCCACCGAAGATAAATTTTGTGCGCTGATAGACTAATCCGTAGAATGGTCAATTTGGTATATTATATTAATAAAAATGTATATTTATATTGTAAAATGTTATAATTTTATTTGTTTTATTTCTCAAAGTATAATATTTAAATTAAAAAAATATAACTATTTAATTATAAGTGTGAAATTTGATTCGTCCAAGATCAACCATTGAGGTATAAATTTTAAATAATAATTATATATAGATATATATTTTCCTTTTTATGCACCATAAAAATATACATTATAGGCTTTGTGACCCACGTCCACAGTTATGGCCCATATAATTTGATATATGAGCCCAGAAGTATGGTCCAACCAATAGCCGGATGCCTAATAGTTAAATTTGGCACGTCTAATTACCTGTGCCATTTCTAATCCTAAAACCACTGTTCAAGCATATTACCGTCTCAAGAAAGGGGGGGAAAGGAAAAGTAGGAAAAAAAACCTTTTATTTTCTTGACTTTGTATATCATTGGCACCATATTATGGATTAATTTCATTCTTATTTTATTAAATTTTACCTAAAAGGGATATTATCTTGGATGTTGTCAAAATTAATAAATTTTAAAAAATCTCCAATTTGACAAGTTAGTACGTATATGATCAGCAGAATTTATATGCTAACTCACCAATTTACGAACTCTTTTTTGTGAGTTGATAAGATATTATAGAAATTACTGTAGACAATTGAATTTTGGGCCACTTAAATGGCGACAAGTGTCAAATTTCATATCATAGTCAATCTAATAATTATCTATTTTATTTGAAAAATTAATTAAATTTTAATTCCTAAATTAAATAATTAATTAATTGATTATTTAATATATATTGTTGGCCAATTAAAAAATGCCACATGTATATTTTAAAGGCTAATTAAGAATGACACATGTAATTTTCTTGTAATGCAACATGTCATTTTCTTGGAGAGTAAAATAAATAATTATTTCTTTTAATAATCATTAAAGAGATAAATAAGTGGAAATTCATAGAGCAATCAAATTGAAGTCTTCTTTTTTTAAGACTCCTATCTTCTAATTAACTCTGTAATAAATATTAAAGAAATAAATATTGAAAAATTATGGACCAATCAAATTGAAGTCTTCTCTTCCATGTATAACGTTGCGGCTAATGGACTTGCTGAAGCATTTAATAAGACTTTATGTAATTTGCTGAAAAAAGTGGTTGTGAAATAAAAAAGAGATTGACATGAGAGGATTGGAGAAACCTTGTGGGCATACCGAACCACTTTTAGAACACCAACTCAAGTCACTCCTTATGCACTTGTCTATGGCGTGGAAGCAGTTGTTCTTCTTGAGCAGCAAATTCCATCATTGAGGATAGCATTGCAAGAAGGATTGACAGAAGAAGAAAATGCCCGCCTTCGCCTTGATGAGTTGGAGGCTCTAGATGAGAAAATATTGGAAGCTCAACAAAGATTGGAATGTTACCAAGCGCGTCTCTCTAAGGCATTTAACAAGAAAGTTCGATCGCGCTCCTTTTAAGTTGGTGATTTAGTTCTTGTTGTGAGGCTGCCAAGCCTCCGAATTACGTTATTAAAGTTAAGACTGGCATAGAGAAGATCAAAATCAACTGTACGGCAAAGACCAAGGACTCGTGTTCTTCACATTCTTGGGAAATTACGATGTTCGATTCGAGATCAAGCTGTCAAATCCTGGAAGTAACGTTATGTAAATCCAAATTCAAAACCGGCGGAGATCAAACTGAAGATTCATCTCCAAAAGTCTCATATCCATTCGAAGATCCTTATTGAAGAAACTAATCAGAAGAATAATAGAAATTTGTAATCCAATATATTTCATTTGATCTGTTGAAATTTATTTGTACGAATATCTCGTGTTTATTAATTTAACAATACGAATTTTGCGTTACAATTACAATGACACTCAAAATAATATATATGTGGAATATAGTCCCAACATAATGGGAAAAAAGAAGTGGCCATATACTGTGTTATATGTACGCATATTCTTTAAATACTATAATTAACATAAATTTTTTCACATAATTGATGATATAAACTATCTTGAGTATAGAAATTGTTGATTTAAAAGGCGATGTGATGCGTAAAATTACTTAATCATGTCACGTCTGTATTATATGAAACTTTATATGTTTCTAAAAATTTAACAAGTACAACATAATTATGCAAAACTTTATTATATGAAATCAATGAATTCACTGAAGGCACAATTGAAGACAAACATATAACGAACGTCACACTTGACACACTACACGCATATACACATATGGAATGAAAAAAACTCGGTTTACCTTATAAACACACACTACCAACATAACATTTTCATAAGCTAACACTCAAATACGATCAAACATATAGCATATATTGATCGATTGATTGATTTAGTTTGGAATGCGCTTGAATCGAGGTTTGTTGAGAACCGGCGTGCTTTCGAATCCTCCATAATCGTTCGTCATCTCCTCAAGAAGCCTTTCGTGGATTTCACGTAATTTTTCATCGTGATATATTGCCTCGGGCAACTGCTAACAATAATAGGTGAAGACCCGTTATATATATATATATATATATATATATATATATATATATATATATATAGTGGTAGAGAGAGAGAGAGTTTTCCATTAGTGGTAGTATAATGTCGGCATAAATGTTATTACTTTAAAACAATTAATGATATATTTGTACATAGTGAACATTTTCAAGATTCATGTACCCACCTCAAGGTTAATTTCCCATGCATGAAATTTGAAATCTTTTTATAGAAGTAAATAATATCTAATGTAAAATACCCGCATGTACAATGCTTTTGGTCTAATTTTGCTTAAGTGACATGTAAATAAACTTAAGTCTTGGATGACATGGATAAAAATATATAAAAGTAATGAAATTAATTCCAATGCAAAGAGACTAGGTCACTACTTGGGTCTAAAATAGACTCAAAGGGTAGACGGAGTCTCATTTTCTTGTTGCCACATCAGCAGAACCCAGTCTAATTGCATTTGCATTGGAGTATATATTTTCTAGACTTGGTCTATTTTCTACGTGGCATGTATATTTTTTTGAAAGAACTCAAAGCATTGTACATGCTCTTAGTTACATGAAAGACATGCATATAAAAGCTATTTTTAAAAAAAAAAAGGAAATCAGAATTTGCACATGTAACACAAATTTACTTTTAAAGAAATTAAAAAAAAAAAATCATTATATACCTCATGAGTTGTACTGACTTCCTTCCACGCTACTGGACGGCCTGCATGAATTGTTTAAGCAAATTATCGTTAATGAAATTAGTTTTTTCGACAAGTTATTGAAATCTGAGCCAATTTAAGAGTAATAATGTAACTAATTTAGTAGCTATGCAGTAAACTGATACTCTCTCCTATTCATAATAAGTGTCGTTTTGAGAAGTTACACAGTAATTAAGAATCTTTTCTTTGCTAATAGTAACCCTCACTAATGAAGATAGAAATGAATGTTTTAAAAAAAGATGAAAAATGAATATGAAAAGATATTTATTAGCTAAATGAGAGTAATAATGAAAAAATGTACGAAATATCCAAAACGTCATTTATTTGGTTAATAGTTGATAAAAACAACATGACGTTTTAAAAAAAAAAAGGAGGTATTAATAAATATGAACTAATATTTTAAAAATTACAAATATTCTAGATAATGCATATTGTAATGTGTATATACATATATACCATTAACGGACCTCTTAATGAAACCGCTAATTGAGTTTGCTTGAAAGTTCTCAAATTCGACCAATTATACATGAGTTCAATTAATTTAGCTTTTGTTCAAATTCGACTCATTTAAGTTTGGAGCATGTTACGCACGACTAAAGCAATTCAAACTCAATAATCCACAAATATTCAATAACAACTTGTCTTAGTGAACGTATGTCATTAATTACCAAAAACATGCACAAATTAAATAAAAACCAAGACAAAATCAAGAAAGAACTACTATTTAATATTTATATATACCTGCAAAAGAGGTGGAAAAAAGAGCTGCACAAATGAGGAGAAAAAGAAGGCTCATCTTCTTGAAAGTTACAGTAAGGCCCATATTACTCTTCTTGATCAATATTTTTTTTCTTTTTTCTTTTTTCTTTTTAGCTTTTCTTTTGGCTGTTGGCAATTGAAGCTAACATATATACAAAAGTGTGCATTCCTCACAGCGTTTATATATTGTTTCACAAAGAACAATAGTGGATAACATGCATTGGCTAATTAATTCATTCACACTATATATTTATTACATTCATTCAAGTCACATCATGCAAAAATCAAAATGAGGCATTATGGAAAAGTCAAACACTATTACATTCATTCAAAATCAAAATGACGCATTAAGGTTGAGAAAGTTCACCTCAAGTACATCTTTATTGATAAATAATAATTTATAAATTTTTGTGTGAGACAACTTAATTATTTAATATTTTTTGAATAAAAATGAGAAAATTCGGAGAATGTTTTAATTTAGTAAATGAGAAGCCTCTTTTTTTTTAAGTGAACTAAACTTTAGGAGTAATTTTTGTAATAATTTCTCATATTATTAAAGATAATAGGAGAAATGTTTTACAATATATTTAATAGCTAGCAAGGTTCTACATTGCACGGTTAACTTAATTGATAGACTTATGTAAATTCAAAATTAATTTTGAACAGTACATATACACACTACTCAACAATATACAACAACTAATTANATACACCATATGAAAATAATTTCTGTAATAATCTCCTTATATATCTTCCTTTTTGTTAACACAAATTTTTGCTGAAGTCAACCTAATCGTTAGGCGGGTAGTTCTGTCTCATTTTTTATATGAACACATATTAGGTTATGAAATATTATATTTTTATTTACATTATTTTTAAAATTATACAAAATAAGTATTCAACTTATTATATATATATATATTAAAAAAATATAACAAGACAGCCGGCCATTCCCCAAAACTAGGAAGAAAGAAAGCCTGTCATAATTTCATTCTTGTCTGGAGTATAATTTTCTCACCGCCAATGTGATTTGCGTATCCAAGAAATTTCCAACAATAAAACGGCTTCACATTTAGCAATGTTACTAGTACCTCTTATTTTTTATAAATATCATTTTGACTTTATCAACAATTAACCAAATAAATAACGTTTTGAATCTTTTGTACATATATTTCTATTATTCTTTTATCTAACTAATAAATACACTACGTCTTTTCATATTCATTCTTCATCTTTTCTCAAAACATTCATCTCTATCCTCATTAATGAGAGTTATTATTGACAAAAAAATAAATAATTGTCTTTTCATATTCACTTTTCATCTTTTCTCAAAACATCTATCTCTATTCTCATTAATGAAAGTTATTACTGACAAAAGAAATATTCTTAATTACTGTACAACTTCTCAAAACGACATTTATCAAAAAAAGAAGGGATTATTAGACAAGTAGCATATTATATAGTTTATGATATTGTAGGCTTGTAGCCATAATAAAATGGTTATAATTATAATTAGTATCAGTCCATTTTACAACAAACATATTTGTTTTAATTCTTTAATTGATAATTTTATTACTTCTAAGGGACAATAGAAAATAATTATTTAAGACATGAAATTGTATAAAATATATAAAACTTTATTTTGAAAATAAATATTTCAGGTCGAAATATTGAATGTCTACCAAGAAACTTCCAACCACGAATGCGATGTCCCCTTCACCACTCAAACATTTAAAATTTTATTACTATTAAAAAAGTGGCATGTTTAATTTAATGTATAATAATTTTTTTATTAAAATAAAAATAAAAATTTAGCTAGTGTGTTTTGAGCATATGAACAAGGACACACACATATATATATATATATATGTATATACACATATAATTTTAACCTCCAAATTTCTTGGTCAAGCCTAATGACAAAAAAAAAATTGAAAACAATCTTGAAAAGGTAAGATTTAAGAACCACAAAATAAGAAAAACGAATTTTATATATACATAATGATAAATTCAACTGAATTTCTCAGTTTCAACACACAATAATTACAGGTTTATATATTGATGTCAAGATTGGTCCAAGAGAAACTCTCTTGCCACAGTAAATATTCTTTGTTCCTTTGTCTTCCTTCCAGTTTCTTTTTTTCTGTTTTCTTTTTTTTACTTAAATCATATGGGAGATTTTACATTTTGTTCTAAGGAACCCTCAAAAACATTCACCTCACAAAATGCAAATTTACAGGCATCAGCATAAAACTACATCGGTTTTAAGAAGACTTTTAACTGATGTAACATACCAGCTCTCCAATCAATCGAAGGTCTCAATGCTTCAAAAGCTGTTTTTATCTTTCCTTTGCACCCTGAAAATAAGTTTAAAATGTCATTCTCAAATGTCATTTAAAAAAGAAAATGAATACTTGTGATACGAAATGAAATGTAATACTTTTGGTAATATTTTTCTTAAGAGTGATTTCAGTTTAAAAGTGTATATATATATATGTTGAAAAAATGTATGATTATCTAACTGATAGTTAGCAGCCTTATGACAAGTGACAACAACGATAATATTGTATATATTGACAATATACTCTACTTTCTCTCGAATTAACATTCCTAATTGGATAAAATTCAAAAACTAAACTCAATCTATGGTCAAATACACGAGAAACAAGATGAACTTACGAGGAAAATGGTGCCGAGCTTTTTCAAACCGCGGGCCCGCAAATAGAGAATGTCTTTCGAAGCATTTGAATCTTTCAAAACCTAATAATGGCATGACACGGCAAAAGACCGTCAAT